AGGGGATGCTTGCTCCCTTTCTCTCTCTCTCTCTCTCTCTCTCTCTCTCTCTCTCTTCCCCTCCCCCCAGCAATAAAAAAAATTTTTTTTAAACCTTTATCTTAGCAGACGGAAATCAGAAAATTCATGTGGGCTTGATGAAGCAAGCAGCCATGGTAGAGAAGCCCACACATCAAGGAGAAGTGCCAGGAAACCATAGGACTGGTGAGCAGTCTCCATCCAATAGCTAGCAAAATTCTGGGCCCCTCAGTGACATAACAAAGACGAATCCTGCCAACAGCTTGAATAAGCATGGAGGTAGAGTCTTCTCCCATCTAGCCTTGGGGCAAGAATGTAAGCCTCACCAATAGCTTCATGACAGCCATGTGAGTGGCTACACAGAGCGGGCAGCCAAGCTGTACCTGAACTATCTCTTGAAAAGTGTGGAATATTGGTTTTTTTCACATCATGACTTTTCCAACGACCCAATAATAAAAGTGCATTGTTTTAAGCTACTTAATTTGTAGTAATTTGTTACAAAACAATTGGAAACTAATACAGCATGTGCATATGATCAGTTCACATTTTGCTACTTAATTGGAGTGATATGAAACTGAACCAATCGACACCATATTTCTAATTGATTTAAATATCCTTGTCTCTGTAGATTGAATCCCTCTATAGCACGAATTTCCACTGCTGCCCACTAGCCTGGCCATTTATGCAGCTCCTGGTTCAACCGTGGGGGGAAATGGAAACAGAGAGACAAATGAGGGAATCATTGTCATGGTCCAAATGAGCTCCTCAGGGCCTGTGCCTCACAGTGGCATCTGGGAAGAAGAGGTGACAGATGCAAGAAACAACTCCAAGGCTTATTTTATATTTTGACAAAAGCATTACCTGTGCATGTATAGCATTGTGATTATAACCGATGCTCATAATGATGACCCTAAAGCAGAACTGGCAGACATCAGAGAAACAGTAAAATGCAGGAGTCTCAGCATTTTATTTTTGCATAGAAAAAATACATCATGTATTTTTACTGTTCTTAAGATGGGGGGGGGGGACCAGCAGTTAGCGTAATGGCTATGTCGTTGGACTCCCACGTAGTCGACTGCAGTTCGCGTCCCAGACCCAGTGGCTTAAAACTCATGCCGGGCACGTGTGCGTGCGTGCCCAAGATCCCGAGAGGAGAATGGAGGAGAAGGGATTGCGGCGTGACCATCTCCCCTGGGGGGTGATTTCTCGCTTTCTGTCTCTATGTCTCTCTCTGTCTGTCTAGCGAGCGCACGCACCCTATAGTGAAAATCTCTCCAAAAAAAAAAAGATGGGAGGAGGGTCCAGGTATTTGTTTTATTATTATACTTTAGAATGCATATGTTATATAGACTCTTTTATATAGGCCTAATCATGCAGAATTTAAACATACAAGTAAACATTAAATTCAACCCAAAGTACTTTGTAATTACTATCACTTCTTATTTCCACTAGAAAAAGATCATGTTATTTGAAGGAGTGGAAAGTCAGTTGAACACAAACTCTGCTGAACAGCACATTTCACTCCCTGAAGATGTAATTCATGGAGATGGTTTTTGTTTCTCATCTTTCATGCACAGGTGTAATGAGAAAAAGAAAACGGCAAAGAGCGAAACAGGCTAGGAAAGCCCAACTGAGAAATTCCTTTCTAGGGGCGACCCCAAGACCAGTGGTTAAAGGAGCTAGAAATCACATAGCCAACAATGGTTTGAATCCCAGCCCTGGTGTCTTGAAAAACATACCAGGAGCCTGGACATGTGGGTCCAAAATTCTGACAGGATGGAGAAATGGAGAAGGGACTATGATGTGACCACACTCAACTGGGGGAAGTTATTTATCTATCTATCTCTCTCTCTCCCTCTCCCTCTCCCTCTCCCTCTTCCTCTCCTTCTCCCTCTCCCTCTCCCTCTCTCTCTCTCCCCCCGTCTCTCTCTGACAAGCACATACGCCCTCTAGCAATAAAAAAGAAAGATAGGAAAAAGGAAGGAAGGGAGCTTCCTTTATAGAATGCTATTAAAAGGAATAGAAGATCTGGGATGAAGAAAGGCCAAGCTTGATAGGAGGAGCAGACAGAAGAAAGAAAATGCAGTGTTATATGTAACATAGACATCACATGCAAATTAGGTTCAGTGAGGCTCAGACAAGCCCAGATTGGCATGCCTGGCCCACGCATGAGCTCTTTTAGACCTGCAGCTTCATCACAGTGGCCACTGAGTAACAGGTGCAGCAGCTGTCAGTAGTCATTTTCTGCTACATATAGCATAGAGCTCCTTCCTCACTTCAACGTTTTCAACCAGTATGCATTGGACAAAATAATATGCTATATAGATGCAATGCAGACAGGATACAAGATTGAAGAAGACATAGGTCTGTCATCCAGGGACAATCAGATTAGGAAGGAGGCAGAAGAAAGGCACAAAACAAAACTTTCTAAGTCATGGATCTCCATTAGTGACCAAAGAACTGAACTGAGTGGGTAGGACCTGTGTGTGTGTGTGTGTGTGTGTGTGTGTGTGTGTGTGTGTGTTTCTCAACGCCTTTGCATCCTCCATTCTGACTCAGTTCCTACCATTTCCAAAATCTTACCATGACAGCTTCACACACGCCCACCTACCTGCTTGGTCCTTGAAGCCATGGAAGTTTGCATCCTTCTGGTATAAATGGATACATTTGATTCTTGGGTTTTATCATTCTTCTATCACTTTCTTGCATAACAATTGCCAAAAGGATGATATTCCTGAGCAGATCAAACAAGTCCTCTTCAAAATAACAGGTGCCACCTCCAGTTTGCTGTACTTTCTCGTTGCTAGCACTGTGTTTGCCTTTGTTCCCAGAACTATGCACTAGAATGGTAGTTTTAATGATTTTTCAAGAATAATCCCTAAATCCTTTTCTTGATCTGTGTGCTAGAGGATTATTTTCTGCCCAGATACATCATTGGACTGGCCTCCTTGCTCCCCAATTAATTATTAGTTTGTCTACATTAAATTACACTTGCCATCTGCTGATAAAAATCACAACAGTCTCAAAGCTATTTCCATCACTTTCTCTGTTTATTGTTAGTTTGTTCTGACTCCTATCAGCTGAATCAGCTGCAAAATGGGGATTTGATTTCCAATTTCTCCCAGTTCTCTTCCCAGTAGTGTAACTTTTTTGGGGAATATTTCCTATAAAAAAAATATATATATTTATATATATATATAGAGAGAGAGAGAGACAGAGAGAGACAGAGAGATGAGTTTTTTTAACATGGTAGATCGACAGCGATACAGCATGGTAGATAAAAATCAGTATAACCAAGTGTCATAGAAAGAATAAAGAAGTGCAAGAAACATATTAGGTGATTTTAACAACAGAATGGATCATTAAAAAAAAAAAAGTCCAAGAGGTAAATTTTTAAAATTAGGGATAACAAATAATAGAAATAAAAACAGGCTCTCCAAAATACAATACAGCAAAATCAACATGAAACAAATCATAGAGCACAAATGTAGGTGTGGGAGAAAAAAAAGGCATTGTTTTATCTTTGATTATACAATTAAATTTCTATTCCAAATCCCAATGCTACAAGATTGGCAAGCTTAGAGTTTCAGAAGTCCTGGGGGTTCCAACTGAGATGTGATAAGAGTCTTGGATCCCACAAGGGACTAATGCCAGCATGTAAGTCTGCTAGAGCTGCCATTATAAAATAAATAAATAAAACAAACAAACAAACAAAAACATAGAGTAGGGCTAGCCCCATAGCCTAGTATTTAAGGGAGCTGGATTCCAACCAGTGGTTCAAATTCTAGACCCAACAGCTTGGAAAACATGCCAGGTGCATGGTATGTGTGCATACCCAAAACCCCCATGGGATGAAGAAATGGCGGAAAGGGATTATGGCATGACTGCACCCCATTGGGAGGGATGCCTTCTCCATCTCCCTCTCTCTGTTTCCCTGTGTCTGTCTCTCTCTGGTGAGCACTTATGCCCTCTGGTAATTAAGAAAAAGAAAAGAACAAAAAACAGACTGCTTAGCTTAAACTACAGATATTATTTTCTCACAGTTTTGAAGAATGGAAGTCCAAGATCAGAGTACTGGCATGGTTGGTTTTTCCTAAGGCCTCTCATTAACTTATAGATAGTGCCTTCCAGGGTCTTTTCTTTGGACCTGTGTGTGTTCAAATTCTTATTCTTCTTTATTGTCTCCTCCTCCTTCTCTCTTTTTTTTTTTTTTTTGGTAAGGACTTCTTTATTTCTTTTACTTTTTAAAGCTTACTTAGTCCATGAGTGAGAGACACAGAGACAGATCAACAGAGATACAGCACCCTCGACAGGATCCTGATGTCACAACCCACCCCCAATTCCAGCTAGCCCAGATCATAGACACGCATGTGCCTTACAGACTCAGGAAGGTCTCAAGATGAGAACCAGCAATCTGCCCATGGGGGTCAGCTTCACAGAGCATCACATTTTGGCCCTGCACCACAGCCTAGCCCCCTTTTCTTCGTATAAAGACATGAAGTGGTTAAGGGAACCAAATCCCACATGACTGACCACAGTCTGAATCCCAGCTTAGAGGCTTGAAAATGTGCTGGGTGTATGTGTATGTGTGCCCTAAATTCTAACAGGATAGAGAAATGGAGGCGATGGAATTGTGGTATGACCATGCCTCATGGGGAGGGGGGGAAGGGTTCAAGTAAATAGATGATAGATAGATAGATAGATAGATAGATAGATAGATAGATAGATAGATAGATAGATGATAGATAGATGATAGGTAGATGATAGATAGATGATAGATTAGATAGATAGATGATAGATAGATAGATAGATAGATAGATAGATAGATAGATAGATGATAGATAGATAGATAAAGATACAAGGCATAATGGATTCAGGCTAACTCTGAAGATCTTAGTTAAGTTAATCACATTCTAAAAGATCCTATCTCCAAATATAGTCACATTCTGAGGACTTCAATATGTGAGTTTTGGGGAGACACAACAAGCTAGAACTAGGTGATTCCTTCTGGCCATCAGCTAGTTGTCCACACAGAGCTAAGAGCCTTCTTTCTGGCTGCTAGATTTCCTTCAGGTCCACTGCGTCCTGGCTGTGTTGGGGTATTGGGACATAGCCTCAAGGCGAGGATCCTCTGATACCACTGTTCCCACCTTCTGAGCACATGACGTGTCATGTAGGACCCAGCCACTCCTATACACCCAGGTCTTCACTCCTGCTGTCTAAATGGGAAATCTCTCTTGGTTTTGGGAAGACCCTTTCTACCTGACTTTCTATCTCTTAACGAATTATCCTTTTGAAACAAAGACCTGAATCTCTATTAGACTCTTCATGCTTCCCACCTTCTGCAAGCTTCCCTGGATGATGAAGCACCTGTTTGAAATGAAAGGCAACAAATGTTAGGAAAAAATAGGGTCTGAAATGACTGTCTTTGTGATTAATATATGTACCATGAGTGATTGGGTCTCTTCTCATTTCAGTGCTGTCAGCATTCCATTCAGTATTTTGTAATCGTATACATATTTTTTTCAATCAAGAATGATAGGGTTGGGCCAGCAAGGGCATGGTGGTTAAGGTGCTGTATACCCACATGGTCAACTGCAATTTGAGTCCCAGATGTGATGACTTAAAAATCACACTAGGGGAGAGGACCAGCAGATAGCGTAGTGGTTATGTCACTGGACTCCCATATAGTTGACTACAGTTCAAGTCCCAGACTCAGTGGCTTAAACTCACACTTGGTGAGTGTGTGTACATGCCCAAGATTCCGAGAGGAAAATGGAGGAGAAAGGATTGCGGTGTGGCCACCCCTTCTGGGGGGTGATTTCTCATTTTCTGTCTCTCTGTTTCTCCAGTGAGCACATACACCCTATAGCAAAAGTCTCTCTTAAAAAAATAAGGAACAGCACACTAGGCACATGTACATGTGTGCCTCAAAATCCCAGGAGAATGGAGGAAAAGGAATTGCAATGTGGCTTCTCACTTTTCTTTGTGATCTCTCTCTCTCTCTCTGTCTCTTTGCCTCTCTCCAGAAAATGCCCTATGGTTAAAACCTTTTAACCAAAGGGGTCTTGGGTTGGACCTATGGTCTGGTAGTTAAGGGGACAGAAGCCAACATGGTCAACAACACAGGCTCAATCCTGACCTCACTAGAAAAACACATTATGCATGTGTGTGTATACGTCCAAAATCCCCACAGGTTGGAGAAATGGAGCAGGGGTCACAGTGCGACCCTGCCCATTGTGGGGTGCTTTCTCTCTCTCTCTATCTCTTTGACTATCTCTGGTAAATGCACATGCCCTCTGACAATGTTTTAAAAAATGGAATATATTCACAAATACCATGACAAAATTTATAATCTACATTAAACTTTACATTGGGGACACACAAAGTAAACATATTTCATTATTTTGGGATATAAAACAAAAATAAAAAACACAGGACCAGCAGATAGTGTAGCGGTTACACTGCTGGACTAGCACATGGCTGACCACAGTTTGAACCCCGGACCCAGTGACTTGAAAACCACACCAGGCACATGTGCGTGCATGTGTGCCCAAGATCCCAGAGGAGGATGAAGGAGAAGGGATTATGTCATGGACATCCCCCCGAGGGGTGATTTTTTACTTTCCCTCTTGCTGTCTCTGTCTCTGTCTCCTCTGCCCTGTGGCACAAACCTCTTTTTAAAAAATGTTGATTTTGAGCTGGCTGCTGGCCTGGTGGTAAAGGCATGGTTAGAGTCCCAGACCTAGGAACTTGCAAAACACACTAAGCATGTGTATGCATGTGCCCAAAATCCCTAAAGAAGGGAGAGATGGAGTAGAAGGGGTTGCAATGTGATCGTTCCCCCTGGTGGGGGGAGGTACTTTCTCCTCTCCTTTTCTGTCTCTCTCTTTCAAGCGGGTACACACACACACACACACACACACACACACACACACACAAAGTTTATTTCACACTCCTAAGATTCTATTTTCCGAAGTGAGCATTTTCCCAAGGAGAGGAGAATTAATACCACTCCTCTTTTTCTAGAGAGTAGAAATAAGAACCAGCCTTCATGACATGTGCTTTTGAAAATGTATGATTTGAGATAAGGAGTCTGAATGTGGCACTGGACCCGTGACTTAGTGGTTAAGGGAGCTGGATCCCATATGGCTGACTAAGTGGTTCAAATCCCAAATCCAGAGACTTGAAGAACACTCTGGGTATGTGTGTTTCTGTGCCCTAAATTCCGACCAGATGGACAAGTGGAGGAGAATGGATTGTGGTGTGAGCACACCCTACAGGAGGTGCTTTCTCCCTCTTTTTCTCTCTGTCTTTCTGGTTAGCACTTACAACCTCTGGTAAAATAATAATAATAATAATAATAATAATAATAATAATAATAATAATAAAAGAGTCCATAAATGAGATTTGCAACTCAGATCCACAAGGAGTTAGGAAGGGAAGTAGACGCTCAGGGTAAGATTTTTGTTTGCCTGTTTATTTCTCTGCTTAGAGAAATACAGATTCTTAAAAATTCACTTCAATATTGAATTTGCTCTATGCCAAGAATTGAGCTAGGAGTTTAATAAGCATTATTATTTTATTTAATTTTAACACTCATTTGAACATAAGAAATACTTAATTTTTACCACTCATTTGAACACATTTCATCCATGAGCAAACTGAGCTATGAAGAAGGTAGGTAATTTGTCCAAGTCATGCAGTTAAAAAGTGGTGAGGCTGGGGATTTACTTATTCATTCATTCATTCATTCATTCATTTAACTTATGTTGTCAGACACATGTGCTCACAAGAGACAGAGAGAGAGAGTGAGAAGTGAGAAAGCACCCCCAGGCGGGGATGGCCATGATGCAATCCCTTCTCTTCCATTCTTCTCTCAAGATTTTGGGCACACACACACATGCACCTGGCATGTTTTTCAAGCCAATGGGCCTGGGACTTGAACCATGCAGTCAGCCATATGGGAACTAGCCGCCTTAACCACCAGACTACCTGGTTAGCCCAGACTGGGGTTTAATTCAAACCCACTGGAATATAGAGTTCATGCTACTTCTACCATGCCCTGTAATCAAGGCAGAGTAATAAGCAAATGGGTTTGTTTGGGATAGAAAATAGAGTGGAATCCTTAGAGCCATTGTGGGTAAAATGTCAAACTTTGAAAATGTGAAATACAAAGCAATAATTACCAGTTAGATTCATTAAAGGAAGTTATAGGCATCACTTCTACTCCCTAACTGGGAAAAGAAATGGACAAAGAAAAGAACAGAGAAATTAGTAAAGAGAACAATGTAGTAATAGTTCAACATTATTGCTGTTGCTTTCTCTTTTTCTCTTTCTCTTTCTCTTTCTTCCTTTCTCTCTCTCTCTTTCTCTCTCTCTCTCTCTCTCTTTCTCTTTCTTTTTCTTTTTTTTTCACTGGAGAACCAGAAAGAGAGAGAGAGAGATTTTTTTTGAGAGATTTTCATTGTAGGGCGCGTGCGCTTGCCAGACAGACAGAGAGAGACATAGAGACAGAAAGCGAGAAATCACCCCCCAGGGGGGATGGTCACGCCGCAATCCCTTCTCCTCCATTCTCCTCTCGGGATCTTGGGCACGCACGCACACGCGCCCGGCGTGAGTTTTAAGCCACCGGGTCCGGGACACGAACCGCGGTCGACTATGTGGGAGTCCAGCGACATAGCCATTACGCTAACTGCTGGTTCCCGTGAGAGAGAGAGATTTTTGACAGGGTCTCTCCACACCCCAATCCTCCTGCTCCAGATTCCCAGTGAGTTAGGAGAAATGACAGCCACCACTGTGTGTGGCCTGTTCAGGTTGGGCCGGGAACCAAAGCCAAGCTTTCCATGTGGCTTTGAGCATTCACGGAGTAGCATTCTTCCACCTGCTTGAGACACCACAGCTGGGCCCTTTTTTGTTTCCTTTAATGAAGTTCAAAATTGAGTTGAGATATGAAATATCATAGGATCCCCTAATGATACAGTGAGAATTTTTTAAAGAATTAGTTATTCAATTTTATTTATTATTATTATCATTTTTAAATGTGGTATAGGCACATGCACTCACCAGAGAGAGACAGAAAGAGAAAGAGAAGGAAAGTGAGAAAGCAAGCTTCCAGGTCTGGGGCTCAAACTGTGAGTGACCATGTGGGAGTCCAGTGCCTTAACCACCATGTCAACTGCTGGCCCCAAGAGAAGAATTGTTAAAGGTGTAAAACACTGGTTTGGGTTTCACCAGAAGGATTCCTTGTAGTCTAGTCTAGGATTTTAGAATTTTACTGTTTCACAGTTTTAGTATAGATATAGAAAAACACATCGTCATTACTGTTATCAGTGCTCACACTTAAAATTTTTACAATGTAAGTACGATTATGTGGAATTCAATAGTCTCCAGCTCAATTAACACATCTTAAAGAGTTTAATTGTAAACACTTAAAGGTGTTTTTTTTTTTTTTTTAAGAATTATTCCACTCAACTTCCGTTTTCTTTTTCTTCTTTCTTTTTCTTTTTTATTTTCCGTTATTTCTTTCTTTTTCTTTTAATTTGATTCGATCCCCAAAGCCTTCACCCACCATCCTGCATACCAGCCTGCAGTTCTGTAAGACCACAGGAGATGAAGTACGCAGAGTGGGATTTGGAAAGTTCTAACCTGCTTTGCAACTGCAAGAGACTCATAATTATCATGATTATTTTCTACCCAGCTTCGAGAGAAGCATTTTGAGCTATTTTGCAAGGATGGTGATAACAACATTTTTATGCTCTATCTTCATTATGTTATTATTCTAATGGTATTTGCTAGTTTCATTCTCCCAAAAAGCTTTAAGTTATTTGCAAGTTCTTTTTGTTTTGTTTTGTTTTGTTTTGTTTTGTTTTGTTTTTAACATGTCCTTCCTCAAATAAATTTAAAAGTCAGCAGCCACCATAGGCACCATAACCAGACCAGGGGTTAGGAATGAAGATTCTGAATATGGGTGGTGGGGGGGAGGGCAGCAGGTGGCATGGTGGTGGTTAAAGGCATTGGATTCTTGCATGGCTGACTGCAGTTTGAGTAACAGACCTGACGGTTTGCTTTCTCGCTGTCTCTTTTTTCTCTCTCTCTCTGTCTCTATCTGGTCAAATTAAAAAATAATAACAACAAATGGAAATAAATAAATAAATAAATCTTTAAAAAAAGAAACAGCAACAAAAAGATTCTGAATATGTGTTGTGTTGTGCTTCTGAAGCAATTTGGGAGCTCCGAAAGAGAAACACCACATGTAATAGCCAGCCTCCCACCCCCAACAGCCCCCTCATTCCTTCAGCTCTGCCTCAGCAGTGACAGTAATATCTGGGGCTGGCAAACCAACTTCTTCCCAGGGAGTTCACAGCGCC